ACCTACAACCCCGCCATGACTACTCCATCATGTATTGTCATTAGATAAATAATTATTTATCAACTCTTGTGCACTTCTTCTTCCACTACCACACATTTCCCTTCTCCTGTACTGGGCAAAAGTTATGTTGTAAAAAAAGGAAGGTTTTTAAAATTATGTATTTGTTTTAGTTATAGGGTTTCTCACCACTTGTTAGGATTTGGAAATTTAAAATTTAAATTTAAAATTGTGAGACTGATCCATCTTGCTCTTGGTGTCCATCTTTAACACAAATTCTAGTTAAAAGCCTTTCTGTGCTTCAAAGTTTCTCAAAAGGTATCCTAGTCCTCTCTCTAAAACTCCTGCTAACTTCACTTTGTAAATTATTCACATTGGTCCTATGTATGTGATCCAATAAAAGTTCCTTATTACAACGCTGTTTTATGGCTGCACCTGCAAATTAAAGAGGATGCTATTTTCATCTTCCTGTTTACCAGGTTGCTAGCAGACAGCCCTTTGAACCTTTCATAGTTTCACTTTGCAGAGCCTCCACACCATTTTCTCTGCTGTGGGAACAGAAAATGATAATTACCTATAGCAACGGAGAAATAATTCATTGTAGTGTCAATGCCCCCATCTTGTATACTTCTCCACCCTATTCCAATATTTATCAAGCAGCTTTTAAAACAGATTTCATAGTTTTGCACAATTGCCACTCCTTTGGGGTGATTTGGAAGGAGTTTCTAAGGGTTCTCTACCTTGTTTCCATCAGAGACTACTTGACCAGGGACTACTTTGACCAGGGACCACTCTCCAACATTAATACCAAAAGGGTTATGAATCAGTTTTTGGTCAACTTTAGATTCAGTTTGGTTATTTGGGGTACTGATTCAGAAAATTGCACTGGATAGACCACATCAGCTCTAGTTTCTGATAAAGAACAAATGCCATCCAGTAGTCGCAATCTGATCACCCACAGAATACCATATTTAATAATCTAGAGCCACAGACCTTAATTTAGGTTTTGTGGGCCACCAGTGGGCTGCGGCCCAAAGGTTGGGAACCACTGTTCTAAAGGATCCCACAAATTGTTGAAAGTTCCATGGACCTCTCAGAATTTAGGAAGACTATGAAAGGATCTCAAAAAGAGTTGTGATAGCAGATTCCCAGATAAGTTTAGTGTTTACACCTTATTTTATTTTTTTGTTAATATTTAATGTTTCTTTTGTCTTTACTGTTCGAATGTCGCACAAATCCTATGTAAAATCATACAACATATTTTGATATTAATACTGAAATCTGAAATATATACAGAAAATCTTCAAGGAATACCCCGAAACCAGGAAGGTGGGACTAAGAGGGCACCCCTAAAAACAAAAAAGCGAGTGCTTCTCATTTTTCATTTGATGAGCAATAAATGCCTAATACTACTTTCATGGAGCGTTAGCACCTCCACAATTAGTGACATTGGAAAATGTGCAATGCAGCTTATGGTATTGTTTATGAAAATCAAATGCTCTTGATGCATCTTTTCCTATCCATCCACTGCTCTGTTGTTGTAATAACTCTCACTTCTTACAGAATCTATTAATAGCAGTAATTGCTCTGAATAATAGTTATGTCATGGTTAGGAAAGGCTGCCCTCTAATGGCCAAACAATGCTGTGAGATACAGGCATTTAAACTGACCCATCTGCCTCCAAGTGATTGGAATGGTTCTGCATACTAGAGATATATTTAAATTAATTGATTGTGATTTTTTGGGGGGAAAAAAACAACCCTAGGGTCCATTTAGGCTCCATGTCAATGTTTCAACTGTTGAGGCTTCAGAGTGTAGGCTCTAAAGTGCATATTATTCATGCATATAATACATGCATATTATTTTAGTATAACCACAAAGCAGAAATACTCTGCTCCAGAAAGGATGGAGGTGACTTGACAGGGCATGAAAACATTCCAAACAACCCACTCCTCTAGTTAATCTTTTAACATTAGAAGCCATACAAAATATATACAAATGTATTTTTTGGTCTGCAGATGAATGTAGCAAGAAATATGTGAAAAAAATCGCAAAACACAATTATTACTTTCATAGTCAATATTTTTATATGACCCCTCCCCCAAAAAAAAAATCAGCCACAAAAATATTAATATCAAGCGACTGGATACTCTTGCATATTCTCACAGAATACATACAATGAGCTTGGACACTTAAGTTACTCTTAGTTCGATGCAGATTACGCAAATCAATGCACTTTTTCTCTTTCATGGATGCCATGTTCTTTGGAAGCTTGTCTAGACTGAGCTAATTGCCTTTTAGGCTTCCTCCACGTGAATAGTTCACTTTTTTAAAAAAAATACTAAGAATATATTCCAATCATAGGAGTTGTCCCACCAGTTTGACAACACTGTAACTGAAGGGGCATGCACTCTGCATGTTTTCAGGAGTCACCCTCTGATCCAGGAGGATGAAGCGGAAGAAACACACCAATAAATTGAATCTTTCTGAAGATTAGCTTTCATTTGCTGGCTTTGCAAATGGCAGTAGGTGCGCTCTAGGTATAAAAGGACCTCAGCACCCCAAAATGGGGCCGCAGGGTTTTATTGTTTTACAGAAATCCAAAAGGCACATTTTGATTGGTGTTAATACACTGTCTTCTTTATTGGTCTATGCTTACCTAATACATTTTGATTGGCTCTCTGTGACTAAGCAAACAAATAGGTGCAAAGCAACAGAAACAACTAGAATAAACTGGACTTTTCAAATATCCTTCTGATGTCCTTGGCTCTTGCTGAGATGCGCCCTAGCAGCACCGGGTTATCTCTTAGTTACAAATGAAAGCGGGAATGCTGTGTGAAAGTTTAGGGAGGATAAGCATGAGAACCGCTCCTTAAGCTTGCAGTGGCAGCGTTTGAAACTACACTTTTCTCTGTATATACTTTTCAGGTGGGACCTACGGTCACATATAGCATTTATAAAATCTTATATATCCATGTCTCCTTCATTACTACCACAGTATGATGCTATGGAATCTTGAGAGTTGTAGTTTGGTGAGACATCTGTCCTCTTCTGCAGAGGCTAAAGTCTGTGTAAGAACTGTGACTTCTGTGATTCCATGGGATTGAGCCATGGCAGTTTTAAAACTGCATTATTTCTACAGTGGAGATGCTCCCGTGTTCCTTTTTCTCTTTGTGGGCAGCTTCAGTAGTGCTTCAGCCCCTCAGTTCAAATAGAATGAAGGGGGGGGGGGGTCCTCTATAAAGAGAAGCAGAGAATTGGGAAATGTTCCTGCATGAATTTTGGGAAAATGCTTCTAGTTCCCTGTTGAGACATATGACTTTTTGTTTCTTATTCCTACTCTGGTTCTACAGCAGTCATGGGCAAATGTCAGCCCTCCAGGTGTTTTGGACTTCAACCCTCAAGCACCACTATATCTCTTCTTTCTGCCTGTTTGGTCATCTAGTAAAAGAAGGCTTCATCCACTTCTTCCCTCTGCCTTGGAGGTCTGTAGTAGATCCTCACAATTTACATCTTTTTCAGTCCTTGTTCCGTTTATTCTTATCCAGATGCTCTCAAGCTGGTTTCCATAACCAAAGTCTTGCATCTCTTCACAGGTGTAAATATTTTTGACATATAATGCTACTCTACTCCCTCTCCCGTTCAGCCTATTCCTCTGAAATAGGTTATACCACTCCATTGCTACATTCCAATCTTAGGACTCATCCCACCACTTTGACAACACTTTTAACTACCATGCAAAGATAAACTATTTTGGCCACATGATGAGAAGCCAGGAAAGCTTAGAGAAGACAACGATGTTGAGGAAAATGGAAGAAAAAGGGAAGAGGGGCTCCCAAGGGCAAGATGGATGGACGGTATCCTTGAAGTGACTGGCTTGACTCTGAAGGAGCTGGGGGTGGAGATGGCCAACAGGGAGCTCTGGCATGGGCTGGTCCATGAGGTCACGAAGCGTCGGAAGCGACTGAACGAATAAAGAACAACAACTAAGTATGATGCTATGGAATCTTGGTTGCAGTTTGGTGAGGCACCTGTCCTTTGGTGCTACAACAGTCGTGGGCCAACTTCGGCCCTCCAGGTGCTACAATTCCTAACAGCCTCGGGCCCTTTCCCACATTTACTACACCAGACATGGGTCAGCTTGGGCCCTCCAGGTGTCTCTGACTTTAACTCCCACAATTCCTAACAGCCTCAGGCCCTTTCCCATATCCACACCAGGCATGGGTCAACTTGGGCTCTCCAGAAGTCTTAGACTTCAACTCTCACAATTCCTAATAGCCTCAGGCCCTTTCCCAGATCTACTACACCAGGCGTGGGTCAAATTGGGCCCTCCAGGTGTTTTGGATTTCAACTCACACCATTCCTAACAGCCTCAGGCCCTTTCCCGGATCTACTACAACAGGCATGGCCCAACTTGGACCCTCCAGGTGTCTTGGACTTCAACTCACACCATTCCTAACAGCCTCAGGCCCTTTCCCAGATCTACTACACCAGGCATGGGCCAACTTGGGCCCTCCAGGTGTCTTGGACTTCAACTCCCACCATTCCTAATAGCCTCAGGCCGTTTCCTTTCCCCCCTCAGCCACTTAAGCTGTTAGGAATGGTGGGAGTTGAAGTCCAAAACACCTGGAGGGCCCAAGCCGGCCCATGCATGACTGTGCTACAGGGGCCGTTTATGACAGCAGAGCGTGACGTCACCAACGCCCGTCCTCGCGCGCCCCTCGCCCCCTTCTCTCCCTCCCTCCGACAAGTGGGCAACAGGAGGCCGCACACAACCCCGCCCACCCGGCCGGCACGAGCGGCGGCCGTTACCACGGCAACCACCCCGCCACGCGCCGCCAAGGCAGGCCGTTGGAACGCCCGCGAGGAGGCGGAGGAGGCCCTCCACGATTATTTTCCATGACGCGGCCGAAATGGACGCTGTCGGGGACGCTCCCATCCGTGTCCTTCCGGGGGAGGTGGGGCAAAACACACGGCGAAGCGTGGGACATACACGGGGTGGTTTGGGTGCGACAGGCTACTCGAGCCAGGCTTCGCGTTCCTCCCCGGGCCGCGCCGCTCACTTCCGGTTCTGTGTGGCGGCCACTTCCTTCCCTCTTGGTGGGCGGGAGCGGCTGGTTGGAGGTGAAGGGAGGCGGCTGGCTGGCTGGCACGATGTGACCGAAGTGGCCTGGCATTCCGAGCGGGGTGGGGCGGTGCTGGAGCCTGGGACTGCTGGTGCTCCTCTGGGACGAGGGCCGGTAAGAGGACCCCCATACAAGAGCAGCCCGCCTTTGGTTTTTGGGCTCAAGTATATTAAGGAAGGAGCGGAAGAGGGTACATTGTGCTCCTCGCATACGCTTAACCTATGTATGCGGGAGTGGTTTCTTAAGGTGCGCCTAGACTGCACAATTGATGCGGTTTTACACGAGTTTAACTGTCCACCCCGGCAGTCAAAGGCCCCTTCTACTCAGCTGTATAAAATCCCACATTATCTCCTTTGAACTGGGTTATATGGCAGTGTGGACTCAGATATTCCACTTCAAAGCAGATATTGTGCATTGTTTGCCTTGATATTCTGGGTTATATGGCTGTGTGGAAGGGCCCAAACTCATGTAAAACACGAAGAGTTTGCAAACAGTTTTAACCATGCATTGAACTGCATGCCATAAATGGAAAGACTGAAAAAATACAGAACATTTTAAATAATTTTATTGAAATATTAATTGCCATATATTCATATAATTAATATTTGATTGCAGCATGCATTTTTATAAATCAACTATGTACACCTTTCTATACCCTCTTCCAATAACCTAAAAGACGGCTTTATTTATTTATTTATTTATTTACTGCATTTATTGACCGCCGCTCTCAGCCCTAGGGCGACTCGCGGCG